TCCTACTGTTCTTTTACCCTGTACTTTACCTTCCAATATGATTCGGAGTAAATCATGATCCTGAGAAAAATTTTAAGGTTAAGTTTAATAGTCTTTTAGAGAGTTAAAATAATTTATGTTGGCTATATTTACTACTAAGCTAAAGTCTGCAAGTTTTTAGATGGATTAAATGCACATAATTAAAAAATGAACGTAACCACTGATGGTGGTAATTTTTAATGACAGTTGCTGCATTTAAATACTTTTTCTCTCCTTGCATTTGTTATGCCCTATAAGAGCGTCAGTTTTTACTGGCGTCTTTCCAGCGTTTACCCATTTCTTCCATGCCTTTCGGTCTCTTGCCATTTCCTTCATATGTTGCAATGTTTTTACTTTCTTAATCACAATTAACTGTATTTGTTCCATCTTACTGTTCTATTTGAGTTTTTTGTTCCTCTTTTTATATTATTAAATATTTTATCCATAATTACTACAAATAGGAGTGGGCTTAGATAGACCATCTTGTTTTATCTCTTTGTGATGCTCTACCTCCTATTTGTACTTTCCCTGCCACTCTTCTGTAAATACTTATAATTATATATACACCGGTATTTAGGCGGTCGCCCTTCCGGTAGGGATCTATGGAGGATCTATCACCGAGACGCAAGCCCTTATCTCTTGCCCACTGCTCCACCATAGGCCGATCAGACACCAGCATGTTCTAGTCTAAGCCACATATTCATCTAGAATTTTAAACTGCTGCATTAGCCTTTTAGTTTCCTGTACACCGAGCTGGGGTTCGAACCCACATCCACTGAACCACTCGCAGTGAAGCGAATGAGAAACCGGCCGCCCAGCCCGCTTGGCTATGTGACCTACAAATACTTATAATTATTATTATAATATTTAAATACTTATAATTACCTGTAATAATTATCCCGATATTTTTTTATTAAAATACGAACAGAGATTTTTTTAAATATTTATTTTTCTTACTCGAATGTCTTAAAAATAGGGTGAATAGTGTCACTACGCTGATATCGCTCAGCTGGTTAAACTTTTTAAAGGTTGGTTTTTAGTCCATTTTTAAAAATCATGAATTTGGAAACGTACTGGCTCATACATTCAATATGCTGCATCTGAATCTCAATAAACACGAATATGGGATCTGAATCACTTTTTTGCCAGGAAAACATTAAGAAATCTCATTCCAATACCATATTCATTTTTATTGTGATTTAGATATGCCGGATATTGAATGTGTAGGACGGCACGTTTCCAAATTCATGATTTTGAAAAATAAAATAAGTACTGACACTGTGACCAGCGTGACCAAAGTGCTCTGCAATATTTCAGTCAATTTCACTGAAACCACTTGTGTACATATGTAAATAAGAAATACACCAGAATTATTTGCATGAATACGACAACTGATGAGGCTAAGAGTTGAATCTTGTATCATGTTTCAGGGAGATCATTTTGAACATTTTTATTAGATGTACTAGATAGTTCTTGAGAATGTATTAAAGAAATGAAAAATACGCGTTGTTTAAAGGAAAGAAGAAAGATTTTTTTACACAAATTAAACGAAGAATTCAAACATGATTTCTAGTTTGAAATATCTTAGTATACCATTTTTTATTAAAAAAAATTGGGACGATTACCCATACGCATACCAATGATGAATGTAATATTCTTAACTTTATGGCGAAAATGAGCAACAACTACCTTAAAACACAGCAATTTTTTTTTATATCTCAAATCCTCAATTAGTAATAAAAATTTTAACACACTATCTCGGAAATCGAAGCAATTGCCTTTATATAGTAAACTGTCATTATTTTCATGCAGAATCACTCCCTGAATTTAGTTGCACATATTTACTAAAACTCTGTATATTTTACAAATATTTATTATTCAAAAGGACTAAAAACCTACATTTTAAACCTCTGCAAATAAGAAACAATTGATTTCTAATTCTTGGGGCACTGAGAAGTTTTGATCAGCATGAGCACAGCTACCTCTCTTCAAAGTTTCAGAGAAAAGTCCTTTCTCTGAAACTTTGCAAAGTTTCCTTAGGTCCTTTGAAAAAAAAACTTTTCACGCACGTTATAAAAAATTTTGGTCTTAAAATTGAATGAGGATTTCACATACACATTTTTTTAGAAATATACTATAATAATATATAGTTTATTTACTTGTATGGTTATATATGAACCTTAAAATGGTTTCAAAGTTCTTTATCAATTTAATAATTGAACACATTGTGTATTTTTAAAAGGGATAATATTGTCTTTATTAATTATTTGACAAAAATCGAATTCCTACTTACATTTCGTCTAACAGTTGACATGTAAACTAAAAATAATTTTTAACAGTTTTGATAATTTCCATCTTTATGTTATGATTAAAATATTCATATATAACATTTTTACTACAATGTAATAAATTCATAAAATTATAATGTGGGAAAATAGTATTTTAAATTGTACTGCTAACTGCTACGAAATACGTAAAGAGTTTATTTGCACATTATAATAGTTCTTGCAAAATTATCTCGGTGGATTAAATTGTTTTGAAAAGTGCGTTAGCGCAAGGGAAAGTGTTCCTTTATCATTGGCTTTATTATTTGTTCTCTTATTGCAAGTATTGTGTCTATTACTGTGAACACAACTATGTCAATTATAGTATTATTATTATTAGAAAATGTTGAGTATTTGAAACATTGAGTATAGTAGTAGAAAATGTATTCTCCACTGGCTTTCTAACTTCTTGAACGTCGTTTTGGAGCAAAATAAATAAGTTTTTATAAGTTTTCTAATATTTGCCAGTCTCGAAATCTTCCTTTTAATTATAGCTTTTACAAATCGGATTAAAATTTGATTAGTTATTGAAGACATGATATCTTTTGGTTCGTAAATTATTTCTTTCCCTCATTACGTGACCCATATATTTGTCTATACAGTCACCAGCACACATACATATCTTAGTGCATATCCAAGCAGCGTTATGTCATTGTCCGTTCAACAAGCTCTCTTTCGTTTCCCTTATCTTCTTTTGAAGTTGTCGGTGTATTTAACTGTATTTATGTTTTTAATATTTCTTCTTTTGTCCATCAGTTCGAGTATCTCGTATGTCCTTCAGTCTTTACTTTTTCCATAACGTGATTGTTTTAACTTGTTTGTAGTATTGCGTTTTTAATTTTGTGCCATTTCTCTCTCTCTCTCTCTCTCTCTCTCTCTCTATATATATATATATATATATATATATATATATATATATATATATCACTCTCTCTATCTCTCTTCTATGAGAGAGCAAGGTAACCGACATTTGATTCATTTGTATTGTTGTCAAATATTTCGACTGCAGGTAGATGGGTCCGATGATCTTCACTTCCAGAATATTTTCACCATTTCCAACACCAACTTTTCAGTTAACTATTTATCATTACCAAGCAATCGAAACTCGCGAACTCCAAGAATATCAATCTTGATGCGATCTAAAAATAAAATAATTTTATCATATTCATTTAATACGTTATTGGCTAGTACCACACACACTTTAAGATACATTTACTGCTTTGTTCATATATCCTTCCTAAAAATATTTTAAGCAGTTGCTATCTAGTGCCCATAGAGACACGTTCTCTTGGATTAGCAACCCCTGGGAGTCTTGCGTTGTCATGAAGTAAATCAGTTTAAAACTACATCATTTAAATTTATCGACAAATATGTATTGATTAGAGAGTTTTTAAGCCCCTTATTTCAGTAACGTTAAACGTTATACGTTATTCTGCTCATGCGCATTAATAGAAAAATAACGAATTACTTTATTAGCGGATAAGGTATTCCCTTATTTAGGTAAAGATAAGGTTAACGTTGTTAAGGGATTACGTGTTTGTAATGTTGTCAACTGCCAGATATCTAAATCATAAAAAACAAAAAAAAGTCATATGAGCAGCTGTCTTTCCTTGTCTAAGAGCAGAACCAAAGATAACTAGAAAAAAAAATATAGAAAATTTAGTTCAGCATCTTTCTCTTCAATTGTTTCCAACACAAAATGTAGTCTTGTTGCAACAGGTATTATAGGATCAAAAATATTGTGAAGAATTAACCCTCTTATCAAATTGTAATCTATTACTTCTCTGTGTATTATTACTCTCGTCTATTTTCTTAGATTATAGCAAATTATTCAAATAAAATAGGTTATAGAGTATAACGTGGTATAACTGCCGTTTTATAGGTTACGTTCGTCAAATGTCAATTAACGTTAATCTGTCACAGCTTAATTTCTGAAAGGATTCAAAAACTATTTTAAGTAAAAACGTTATCCCTTATTTATTATTCAAGGTGCATGACAAGTATAACGTTTTACGTTTAACGACGTTTAAATGGTTTAGCTTCACCCAAGTATACCTGGTAAGTGTTCAACCATATTTTCTTTCACTTTGGTCAAAATTTAATATTTATGATTGCCTTAAATAAAGTGTTGACACTTATTTTAGGTAACTGCACTGATAATGAACTTAGTCCGAAAATGTTCTGTGATGTAACCCGATAGAGCATTTTTAGAATATAGTATATACCTTCCTTTTATAAAGGATTTTTTAAATAAAGTTTTTTGAAAATGAATAATTGATATACCCTCCCATTATTCATTATTATTTTTAGAATATAATGATAATCAAAATGAAATAATTAAGAATAAATTCAAGATGATAATGAAAATGCATATGACGAATAAATTCTATAGGTGTTATATTTAATAAATTTTGAAAATTACTAAAATCATTAAACATATTTAAAAAAAATTAAGATTTTTTTCTAAATATATCTATGCAAAATAATTAAAATAGACAATATTTCCCATAAAATGTTTAATTTTTAATTGTAGATTTTTATATACATTTGCATTTGGACCTATAACAACTTGTGTACATATCATTTTACTTCTTTTTATTTGCCGTAATCATTATGTTTTTGCTAAATGAGTTATTTCTCGTTGTTGCGCATGTGTAGTAGTCGTCGACATAGGGACAGAACCGTACCAGCTACGTCGCCATCTGTGATATCTGCTCGGAGAGGTATACGTTCGCCAAAGTTAGCGCTGCCTTCGACGAGCGCTCCTAGGTAGGAATAATACAACGTTTTTAAAATAACAGAATTCGTCAACACACAGTGTTTAAACATAAATTAAGAAATTATTTACATCTCATAACTTTTTTAAATGGCAGCTATCAACAATTGACAGGATGACATCTTAAAACAAAAAGGAATATTATTATTCTTATGACCATTATACTGGGGTAATAGAGAAGTTAAAGAGATATAAATATGTGTTTCTTAACTTAATTTAAATGCTGTATAAGGACATTAAAGTCATCGATATCAATTTTAGTTTTGTTCGTTAACTGTCTAGGTTAGGGTACCAGCAACCCCTGCTGGGCATTTTGACAAAAAAGCTAGTATTTAGTTTTGTTGTGTACTATTAACCATATCATCATAGTGATTTTAAAACTTACAATAGTTGTATAATAAGGCGGTATATAATCAATAAGTTTTATCTATCATTTAAATAACATATTACACCAGTTTTGTTTTTACACGTTTGAAAACAAGGCATTACAAATCAGTTGGTCCGTCTATTAATGTGATTATTAGCAATACTTAAACCAAACAGAAATATTATTCCGGCAATTGTTTTCTTAATTGAATTGTAAGTTTTAATATTGCCATAAAGCGTAGAGCTGGTATATTTTGATTTAAAAATTACAGCAAAGTGAAATTTTTGGAAATGTTCGTAATTCATAAAATTTTGTTGGTAAATTTCATTAACTAACTTAGGTACTTTTAAATTTTTAATTCGATATATTAATGTTTCCATATCCCTGACCTATAAACGTATATTATCTTCTGTTCTAGTTAAATTAATAGTAAGGACTATACTCCAGAACATTTTTCCCATCTATATTCTGGCATTTCTAGTGTTTTTAGAAATAATATGAGAGTATGGTAAGGCTAGCAGTTTATATCGAGAAATTTGGCTAAGACTGTTTAATTGTACATCGTCGGCAGTATAATTTCTTGGACTGTAACACCGTCAATTTTGTTCTTTGCAAGGAGCTTGCTAAGATATTATTCTCGCTTGTTCGTCTGATACCTTTAATTATTTGACATGTCGGATTTTTGGTCCGATTGTCAGATGGTTCTGATAAGATCCGATGTTTTTTCGTTGCATTTCAATGTTTTGGCTAGAAGATCTACAGGTGGCAGGCAGTCTAGCGTTTTTTAGTTAGCTATGGGGTATTATTTTGATGCAACACACCACTTTTGATGCAACTTCCCGTTTTTATTTTATACACCTATTGTTCATAAGCACCTGTTATTGTGACTATACACGAAAAAAGATCTCTTAATACAGGAGTTAATTAAAAAACAGGATTAACTTACTACATAATATGTGAGTTACCGATCTCGACTAAATTATATTAACGTCTGAATGCATCTTCGATGTACAACTAACAACTAGCGGAAATTGGATTTTGGGTCTTAAAAGGTTATTTTTTTTGGCAATGTATGTGACCTTCCGTCAATCTTAACAAACATGATATTCTTTAAAGATTATTTTCTAAATTTTAAACTAAATCTGTACCAGCTCTACTTAAGTTATATTAAAATTTTCTGTATTCAGGTTATAGTGTGTTGGAACATCATTTGGCCCAAAAACTCAAAATAGATTCTGAAGTATCAAACAGATACATACCTTATACAAAGCTGGAGATCCATACTAACATTTTTACAATAAACAGGAAAAATGGGTTTTTATAGGCCGAGAAATATTTTAACAGATGATGTAAAATGTTTCAATCATGATAGAATGGAATGGGTTGAGTGGTAGGACAAATGCACTACAAATATTAGGATTTTGTAGAAAAATACATATTCTACAATTTTCCATAAAAGCAATTCTTGCAAAAATGCACAAGCAATGAGTTTTTAATGATTTATTGTCAATAAGATTAAAAGACAAAACACCAGAATACACCACAAAGATAAAACTCGAAAAATGGTTTTGTACAGAAATGAAGGAAAAATTCAAAGAAAAGAAAAAAGCTTACCTTAAATAAATGCCAACCAAAACACAAGAGTCATACCAAAATTACAATACAATAAGAAACGAGACATGTACTTTTGAGCAACACCATGAGCAGTACATTTTTAGAGTGTATTTAATAAACTACCTACTTGAGAGAGATAGATGTGCATTAAAAAAAAAAAGGTTTAAAAAAGGCTAAATTACAGACAAAATAATCGATGGACACACCCAAAGAAAATAGCAAAACACACTGGGATCAGTAGACACTTTCTGCCGAGAATTAACAACTTCCCCAAAAATGAAGCTAGTTGGAGAGATGTTAAAATCCAAAATATATATGGATCATCATCGTCTACTTGTTTTGACTTACTTTTTATTTAAAATTTTAAGCTTAATGATTACCCTTCACACATTTTAGTTTTGCGTTTTTGTCAGTATTAACATTGGGTTAGATAAGGGGAAAAGCTGTTTACAGAATTTTTAATGTAATTTACGGATGGATTTACTACTCATTGCATATCCCATTTCTTGCTAACATAATTTACCATTATTTTGATTCCAACTTACTCAAAAACGTTTAACATTGTTTAATATGTTGCTTTAATATCACCATACTTGTCCATACGGCATCGATCGTATCATGAGTTTGCACTCTCATTCATCTCAAATTCTATCTATAAAAAATATTCCTTACTTTAATACATTAGTTAATTAGTAAATCTATTCATATATTTAAAAACTGGTAATGTTGAAGGACTATGCTCTCAATTATTCCGATAAGAGTTAGATGTGTCTTTGGTATTTACTTGATGTGCTTTTCTTGGGAAAATTTTCTTAGCTGTCATATCTACGGCTAGACGTAAAACCATATATTAAACGAAACAATAAATGTATATAATAACTGTTTAAAATATTTTACATAAGTATGTAATTATTTGTATATTCGCAGTTTGTTCAATATGTTAGTGATTTTGTCCAGTGGCACTTCTAATTTCATTATAACGTTTTTCATCCCGGAGAGTAAATTGAGCTTTACAATTACGTTAGGTTTTATGTAAGCTGATATTCTTAGTTTTTCCAATTAAATTCTCAACTAATTAGTTGAGATAATTAGTCAACGTATTTTTTCTCAACAATACTCCATAGTATTTTTCTAGTAGAACTATTCGATATGAACTTTTGATCTATAGGATTACTATAATTTTTTTTAATATTTATTCCGTAGCTTTCTTAAATTTTACCAATATACACAATTTCATCTTTATTAAAGCTATTCCGTCTCCAGTTTCTTTTGTTGTGCTTTAGTATTACTGATTTATGCACTGTAAAATATATAGAGCCTAGTCAACCTGTCGATTATGAGGCAAAATTTTAATAGATTTTCACTGTTTGGTATTGTGTACCATTATGCTAGTCTTTTATAATTATATAATTTTTTCGGATAGTTTTTGGCGACAATTATTTATCTTTACGGTATAATTGTCAAAGCTTTAAGATGCCCCTTGTCTCTTAAATTGTGCAAAACATGTAAAAATGACAATTTCAAACAGTTATTAAAGTATTGAATAGTTCGAATTTTCACTTCGATTATCGTAACTCATTATCTAAACTAATTCTAAAAATCAAAACACATCATTACCATTTGATAAGAAATCTGGTTCATTGGGACTTCATCCTTACAGGTATTCCAGACATTAATATAATTAATATAACCAAGTCCACAACCCAGTACAAGATATTTCCAAGTAAGTATAATTTAGAGAGGGCGTACCTAGTTTATTTTATCAGCTACTTATTTATTTCTAGTGATACCTAATGATACAAATAGACGGTTTTCACAACAAAACTGTAGATTGAAAATGTGGATATATAACAGCTGCAAAACTTTTGAAATCTATAAAATGAGTATTTGGTTTTCTGTCTAGTAAAGATTTTGTAACAGTATACATATAACAAACACAGTTTATTCTCGTTCCCCACCATGTCGAAAACCCAGTTACGAGTCAAGAAACTTTTAACATTCATTGCTTTAACTTTTAACATTCACTGCTGCTTTTATTTTTTCCTTAATGATTTCACATTCACTTCCTTTCAAAGTTCTTTTTTTTTCTAGCTGATGTGCTTTCGCCCGTTTATCTATATCTTTCGCATACGATCATCCTCTTCTTGATTTCTTTGATACATTATATCCTTAACACTTCTACCACCACTTTCTCAGCGTCGAATATTTGGATTTGCAGAATAGGTACATTAAATATCTAGTATGCTGTGATATACTGTTTATTTGTTTATTTATTTGTTAATCTGTACTCATCAAAAAGTGTTACCAAAGTATATTGTCGTAAAAAAATATATTTTCAGAAAAGATTATAATCTATTTGAGACATGGATAATTTAATTTTGTAAACGTCATTAAACAAAAAGACTGTTTAATGCTGAAGCTAACTTATACATACAGCTATATAGAAAGTATGGTGTAAAAGCAATTACCTAATAACAAAGCTTGTAGCTTTTTTGCTTTAATTTTGTGTTACTGGTAAATTTTTAATAAAAGTATAATAAAACCCATTTATGTAGAGGGTGTTTTAAAACGAGCTTCTATCTTTAAATCGGAAACTACTTACACGATGTTTATGAAAATTGGTTTATAGAGATTAAAAATGATCACCAACTAAAGAAAATATTTTGACAGATATTTCATTTCCGGTTATACCGGAAGTGAACTACTTTGATATTTTAAATGGAACACCCTGAATATTATTGCATTTTTAGATTCTAACCACAGTCAATAATTTTAAATGAAACACTCCGTATTTTATAATTTTAATAAAAAAATTGTCTTTCAAATATTATTAAGGTTCTCTGTACCTAATAAATGTAATGCTTTTGGAAATAATTGTGGTTTAATCTTAAAGGTAAGATATTTATTGTTTTATTTTAGCAGACCGTGCATGAAGATGCCATACTTGTCAGAATTCTCATTATTTCTGAATACTAGTAGTTTTACTACGTATTAGAAATGATCCCTTTATAA